ACATTGTTCGAGAAACGGGTTTCTATCAAAGACGGATTTTACGATGAAAAAGCAGCCCATGGAAATTAACCTAGAGATGGTCAGTTGCACGAAAGAAGAAAACCGGAAAAATGGCCTAGAACCCGAGAAATGGACCCTTCCTTGCCCGTTGATTTGCGCATTGATGCGACTCTCATCGGTGCTGCCCTCTTCAACGCTAACGCTCTCTCTCTGCTGAACGGCTAGAGACTCAGACAACGCGAGAGAGGGCGTACCGGGCCAATAGCGCGCCAATTGGGCCGCGGGAAGGCCATGCTAGATCGCCAGGAATATCCTTCGATGCGAATTGCGTGTCGGTCCGCACCCTTAGGAGGTCCGCCTGTCTCTTTAGGTAAGTTTCCCCTTCTTCGACCTTTGTTCTTGTTGGGAATTCTCCTTTAAAACTCCCGAGCCTAGTAATGGAATCGCTTCAAGGATTAATCCTTCAATTGTACGAAGTTTTCAGCAACATCAAGAACGTTAAACTTTTTGTATTCTAAAATCAGATGAACTTTCAGGAGAATTGTAGGAGAATTTCTCAGCTTTTCCGAAGGGTGTTTGTTTTTAACATTCGTCCTTATGGTCGAGTTTCGATATCGCTATGTCAAATTCTATCTACGCCGCAGATTCGCCATTTCATCTATAAATTTCCACTGACACATATTAGCGCGTAGATGAATTGATTATTCGTATAATTGAAATATTGATTTTAGAATGACGACAGCGTGCGTGTTTTGCTCTCAAAGGCTAGGTTCGAGTGGTTAGATGTGATGTCTAATCCTGCAGCATCACACCAAGATTTGGTGGATGCTCACTGGTACAGGTAGGTTGCAATTTCTCCATTGTTTACTCAACTTCAAATCGTGAACCCTTTTTCAGTGGAGTCGATTACTCAGAGCGCTGCAGAGAGCTGAAGTACGGATTAGCATTGCGCAGAGAAAAATGGGCGGAAGTCAGCTATCCAAAAAAGTAACTTTTTCGACTGGAATTATTTTTTCCACAATACTTCAGAGAGTATAGGATGCACAAAACAAGTATCGTTCCATTTAGGATGGGCCACGCATTCGATTTACATATAGAGAGTGGGGAAAAAGTTCTTAAGTGTTTATGCGTACCTTTAAGTTGATGTATACCTCTACCCCACAGTGTATATTATTGTCTAGATATGTGGTTCTCCTCAACTTGTTGCTCCAGCGTACAGTAGCGTAACTATCTGTCGCATAGAGTGTGTAAAAGGCCCTTAGTTCAAGGGAAAGATACAAACAATTAAGAAGAAAGAAAAAAACGGCACTGATAACTAACTCATCGAGAATAGATAAATGTAGAAATGAAAAGCCTGGTTTGGCGCCATCAGAAGGATGTTTCAAGAAAGAAATCTTATCCCAAAGATTTTACGCTGTCAAATCTTCCTCCGGTTGCCATCACACCACGAAGCAACCGAAAAGAGGCGATGATTTGTACACCGTGATTGGGGACGCATCGATTCAAATTATGTCTCATCCTCCACTCTTAGTCTCAACAATCTGGGGTCTATTCCAGTTAGGGGGGCATCATGATGCAGTTTCTCGGCGAGCTAATGTAAACTCGAACATTCCAGCTTCTCACGCATGTCAAGTGACTGCCCTCACCCCCACCCCCCTAGGCTGGCTACACTCCCCCTGGCTCAGAGTTACCGTAGCTTTTTGGGAGTCACCGCACCATGATGCCCCCCTAACTGGAATAGACCCGACTCTGTCACCGAGTAATCGACCTCCGATGATAGAGCGTTGTCTACATCTTGATTTTACCCTTAAGCCATGCACGTGGGAATGGCGTAGTGTGCTCCTGCACCATTTGGCTGCTACAGTATAACAGTTACTTTCAGGCTGTTGCTCCATCAAAGATGTTTTCAGGCACTTGTTTATATTTTATGAGTGTTTTTTTCAATTTACAGATTTGGATCTCACGAAGAAAGTTTGTTCTCAGCCTTATACGTTGGTAGTCGTAGCAGCAGCTCATCGGAGGAAATCCTTCAATATATAGAGTGAGTGTCGTCTACTTCAAATGATTCGTGTTGATTTCCGAGCGTTGACGATCTTCTCAGTGACTTTGACGGCATACTCTAACCAACGAGGTTTTTAGATGGAAGAGTCTTCATCAGGGGCCTGCCGTTTCGACGAGATCGTCTCTGGCCTTTGAGGAAGACGGTCTCGTCGGAACGTCAAACCACTGAATAAAGACTCCACCTGAAGCTCGCTGGCAGAAGAATTTCGAATGCCGAGATTCTACGAAGAGAGAAGTGGAATTGATCGATGTGCTTTCCATGTGGGGGAGGCAATCTCAAAGTTAATTCCAGAACAACTAATTTTTTTCAGAAATATTGAATGTGAAACTTCTGAAAATGACGACTTGCCTAGCTCTTCGACCATAAATAATCTTCGTGATCTTCAAGTTCTCCGACCAGGTTACAAACCGAGCGAAGACGTTCTTATGGTCTGTTGATCGGAACTGTAGTATCCGGTCTGTTCCCGTCAACCTCTCACTCCTTGGCCGTTTCAGGCAATGCCACTGCACCATCTGGTGCTGTATTCTATGGCTTCACTTCGTCGTAGCCAAGCAGAACTCTTCCTAAGGACGAGATTAGTTTCAATTTGGTAATCTCCGTCCTAATGAAGAGGCTATGTGAAAGGAAGGCGTATGCTGTGAGCTGATTTTGAGTTAGTTATACCAATTAAGTGGATCGAAGGTTTTGTTTCAGCCGTGTTTGTCAATTCTGGAAAGGATCTCTGGTGATTTGTCAATGGTTGAGAAATGTCGCGTTCTTATTGCTAAAGGTGATCTCAACACGGCGGACCATTTGTTGCATATGCTGTTGGAGTCTGCGTAAGCCGAATAATTTGGCTTTGGTTTTTCTCTTTTCCTTCTTTTTCGATTTAGTATGGGGTATGTTTAGCGATACGGATGTCAGCGTAGAAGTCCGATGTCTGCTTGCAGAATTGCTGGCATATCATAGAAATATGTTAGATGAAGCAATCGCTCTACTGCGTCAGGTAGGTATAGTCAATTGTACTCAGCTGGAAAAGGCAGTTCCTGGAATGCTTCGCTCTTGTTAAATGGGAGCTAACTGTGGAAGTACTGTTCTTGACTTTCACTAATGCGCTGTTAGATGTCGGTCAGACTCTGCGATTGCATCGCGATGGACCAGTGCCGGAGCGACGCGATCGCTCCATCGCTTGTCCACCGCGATGCAATCGCAGAGTCTGACCGACATCTTATCTTATGTAAGCATTCTTTCCTTACCACCAAGGGTGTGAGTCGGTTTTTCGGGAAATCAACGAAGTAAAACCGAGCAGAAACAAATAAACCAATACAAAAGAGCTTTGTTGTAAAGAAATCATTTCTGTGAATATGAGAAATTCTGTTTGTTTGCATGAGCGGATGTGGTGCTCCGGCAGTGGCCAAATTACCACGGACGCTGTCGGGAGCAGAAATCCGGAGTGGATTTCGCCTAAGTTATGTAGGCCTTATATGATTAGTTGATTGGTGTCAGATCCGTCTGGGAAGACCATTGGCTGGCGGCCGTTAGTGTTGTACGGGTATAGATATGATTTAAAAAAAAAGGGGCCCGGCTTTGTTTTTTGGGGGGCCCTTGTTTTAAGAATGAAAGTATAATAGAATACGTGGGCTTCGTAAAGGTGATTACCCTGAATGCTTTCTTTTTATTTTCACTGTAGAAGTAGGGGGGCGGAGTGGTGTAGGGAAGTGACCGCTCTACGCGAGTTGGTCGGGCATAGATTGGGTCGGATCGCCATGCAACCAAGCTTCATTCGGGTCGGTTAATTGGTATCAGACTTGTCTGGGAGGATAAACACACTGAAGTTGATCGGCTGGCCCCAGTCATTGTATAGGCCACATGGCATTTAAACGCCACTACGAATGTACAATGGAAGTAGAATGCGTGCCGCATCCCAAGGGATTGAGAACGGCATGTTTATTTTTTTTAACTGTAAATAGCTGTGTACGTCGGTCCAGTCTCTCGCTATGTGATTCGTACGTTATTTCCATGCGATTATAATTAGACATGTTGAAATTTCAGGGTATCGAGAGCATAGGAGAAGGATCCATCACCCGTGAATCTCGTCTACGGCTGTTTTCGCTGCTGCACCGCCTTGCAGCACGGCAGCTCTCTGGCATAGAAGAACACATGGAGTCGAGAGCGTTCCGTATGAGAGAAGATGCGATTCGTGAATGGACAAGGCAACGTAGCTTGGCAGCACAAGGGTATTTGAGCATATCCTTTCATTGTGTACACATTGTCAGGCACTTTGCGAGTTTTCACAACTTATTGTTTTCCTAGCCCTCCATCTCACACGGCTCGACGTATTGAGTGCGAGCTGCGGTGCGAAAAAGAAGCCGTGGAATCAGTCAAAGAAAAATTGGTCGCAAGTGCTGTTGACACTGTGACTGCTGGACTTGAGGCTCTAAGTTTGTTTTCTTAAGTTCTAGATCATTTTAAGTCGCTCATGTCCGGAGGGGGGGGGGGAGCAGGGTTTTCAAAACACGGCATCCAAGAACTGCTGCTAAGGGTCCCTGGGACCAAACCCAGGAGAGGGGGAGGGGGCGCAGAGAGAACCCAAATTGCTGACATGCTCCCTCAGAATCTCTTCCCTCCATAAATCTTGAGTTCAGGACTGTGGATTGTCAAATACCCTCCCCTTCAATGAAATGAGCGCCCATATTTGCTATTTTACTTTGAATTTTGGGAATAAGGTTTTTACACTGGTTTTTTCAGAACTGCTGTCACAACCGTTTCTAAAACAGCCATGTCAGCCAGCGGAAAAGAACGACGATATTCTTAGACTCATATTTCCACTTATTAATGTGATATTTCGATTCGATCGTGACAAAGACGTTGTAAAGGCTTTCAGGGTAAGTAGCGTTAAGTATGTCACGAGGTAACTGGTAGATATCGAGATTTCAGAAGGTTTCCCGATGCTTTCCTTTTGCAAGGTGGTCTCAGCGATCTCAATCAACCCGTTTGGTAGGAGTTCTAGTAAGGGCAATGAGTAGGGTTTCGAAAGACCGATGGCTCATTTGCGACTCATGCTGCCTACGCGAAATTTCGCCAGGTCGGCGAAATTATTCGTCAGAGGCGCCCTTCCTTCAATTATCCACACGACCTCGTTGAGGTTCCTCTACCCGGAAATCACGAAGGGGGAGGTGAGGGGGTAGGAGTGGGGGGGGTAGAAAAAGAATTTGATCCTCATACGGCATGTTGATCATTATCCATTGTCGGTTAACCATTGTCGAAACTTTTGATGGATTTCTGGCTGAGGCTAGTATGAGCGCCGGCACGTCGTAATATTGGCCCTTCTTTTATCGAATATATTTTGTTAAGCTGACTGAGCTCTGAAATTTTTCCTTACACCTATTTTGCCATCTGTACTGGCGGTCAAACCCTTTGAACCTGATATCGTGGGAAATGTAGAATAGGATGAGACCGAATTGGGTCACCCTGATTTCCTATTTTATCACCTGTAAACGAACGGTTCACATCCTTGAAGAACGTGACTAGCTGTTGGGAGATGTCAGAATAAGGAATTAGACCAAATATGGAGTACAATATGGGTGATGGCAGCAGAACTGGAGATGGCGAGCTCCGGCGAGCGATTATCTTTTGCGACCACACCGCTGCAGTAGCAGCTCTGTGTGGTGAAAAATAGCTGAAATATGCTAAGCGGTGTTGTGCTTTAGTTGGGCGAAAGCAAGTGAATACATGTGATGGGGAATAATGAGAAAGTGTAATAGAAACTGGAACTGGGATACAAGGTTCATAATAAAGATGCTAGAAAAGGATTTGGGTTTACATGTGGTTCATTGAGCAGTTAGTTTTCTGGTTTTCTGTAGCGTGTGATATTTGCTTAAATATTCTCCTCTTTTATAGAGGGAATATGCCAAGCCGGGGATGGTACCAGCTGTTTGGGTGCATGTGGTCAGTCATCTAATGTCTCACTGTTTTGCGAAGAGCATACTAGCTCCTGTAGTTCGAACGGTAAGTCATTCATGAAAATATACCTAGTTTATTTTGGATTTCCTCTTTCTCATTTATTTCTCATTTATTTAAATTTTTAAGTTTTCATATCCCGGTCCTACTCTTTGAAAGCTACGGATGCAGTTTAGGGTAACACGAGCTAGAGGGAGCGTGTGTATGCCCCCCCAATGCAAAACTTAATCTTGCAAAAGCCGAGATCCGTGACTTATCACTGCTGGTGTGAAACAGGGTAAACTGCTACCTTAAAGGGCATTTCCCCGGCGTCCATGATGTGGTTCTCTACCCGAATGCGAATGGTGTGGTGCGATGGGGCCGGCTGGAAGAAAACGAAAGATCCGGTGAAGCGCCTAGTGTAAGGCTATTGTCACAGTGCTCTAGAACTTATCGGTGAGTCCCGAACGGATTGCTCATCCCGTGATTGCTTTAGGGTCTGCCTGTACAGTCCGAAAGATCGTTCACAAGGTACTTGGGCTCTGAATTAATTGAGCAGTCCAGCATAGTCTGGGGAAATGTTACAGGCATGTTCGGTTCAGACACCAGGAGCTGACTTACATGCTAGAAGGGCGGGGTAGTAGTGCCAAGTAGCGAACTTTCTACATCGAACGGGACTAGGACCCTAGCGCTGGACCTTGTAACAGACTCCACAAACCTAATCATGGACACCACGCTCAATATTTGCCTGCGTCGCACGTTGATGCGCTTCGCTCTCTCTTCTCGGACTTTTCTACCACTCCCCGCACTCACTATCTCTCATCTCCCTGTCTGTCTTTGGAATTTCTCCACAGCATCGAGCAAAATGCTCGTATTTCCTGTGTATTTCAGGATTTTCTTTTCCGTTTTTTCTTACACTGGCGGCATCCTTATCCCTATTTCATCTAGCGGATTACCATGTAATTGATTCTTGGTTCAGTCAAGCAACGAGATGACCGGAGGTGACGGTGATTGGTGGGGACAGAACTACTCTACCATGTGCAAAGGACTTGATGAGGCTGTCTACGGTATATCACAGGCTTTGAGGGGGCGGGACTGGCTCTCGATGCCGTTCCCTCGGTGACATCTTCAAGTCTGCCCCGCCTTAGCCATCGTGTTTTCTGCCTTTTTATGCTATTTTATTGTATTTGCAGATGATTGTGAAACTTATTATCGCTTATCCATATCATGTTCTACATACTGTGCTCATGTATAAATTCAATGAGGTATACATATACGTTTTCACGGTGAAACTCAGTTCGGGGGGCCACTCCATTGTTTCTCCAATACTCGAGATAAGGATGACAGCGCTCATGATACGTAACCAACTCATTCAGAGTATACTTTTGATAAGTAACGGTGTAATGGGAAAAAAGCCGTGAGATGCTTTAACCTTTCCGCCTGCCATGGTCCAAGGGAACGGTCCTGGACCGGAGAATGGATACCTCTTTCTAGGGCCAAGGGTGGAGGAGCTCCAGGGTGGATGACCTGGTGCAGAAAATTGTATAGGAGGTGGGCAGAATGTGTGATGGACAACATTTACCGGTCCTTATCGAAAGTACGCTCGAAATTAATCGTTTACTTGATATCTTATCCATGGTGTTGGATAGCCCAAAGTACCACTCGTTAGTACTACGGATAAGATAGCACTGGAGTGGCCCCCCCGAACTGAAGTGGAGTTTCACCTTAGATTCATTATTCCCCTCTCTGCACATGTATTATTCAAATGGTTTAGAATCTTAATGACATGTCGACGTCTGGAGGCGGCTGAAGTTCGCGTTTCGCGACACAAAACAGCAAGATCTCGACTACATGAAATTGTAGAAGACTATGACCGCGGCACATGTTGCTTACATACAATTTGTAGCTGTCAAGATCAGCGACACGCGATTCTTCAAAAAACGGCAGCTGCCAGAAAATAAAGGTGAGTAATTTGAGATTTAAAAAGCATATGCTGCGGATATCAGTTCCGTTTGGGTCGCAACAATCAACCCTTTCGTTCGCACTGTTGGAATGAGGGGGTCGAAGTTGAGGGGGTCCTATTTTGGGGTCGAGTAAGGTTGACATCTTTGAGAAAAGTGAACGGGGCTCGAAAAAGAGAAGGCTGTATTTGTTTTTGACAGGTGGGGTGGCGAGTTGAAGTTAGGATAGGTAGGTAGTCGGACACATTTGTAGCATCTATGCTTCACATACCAATTTGCTCCCTAGCTTATCCATCTCCAAGTTCCGTTGCTTCACGAGTCGGTTTGGAGGGAAGTAGTGCGAAGTTTGGTGAATCGAACTCGATCTCACCATCAAAACTACTGAAACATCCATGATGGTGAGGGTGGTGATCGAGGTGGAGAAAAGGGGTGTCGTATTGGGGGAGCCTCATAAGCCTGAGATGGTGGTAGTGGAGGGGAGAGGGTCAGGGTCAAGCGAACCGTCGAGGAAAATTTGGAAGCACGACCTCCATCTTCAGATGTGAAGTCCATGATGACCCTCTTCGCAGCAAGAATATGAAAAGGTTGTTTTATTCTCCCCAAACTGTTTCATAAAAAGCCACTGCCACCGCCCTCCACCAAAAAATTCGTTTAAGAAGTTCACTGTTCAATATTTGTTCGCCGACAGTGATGATCGTACTGCATCGATCCGGTCCGATCTGTTCCTCGCAGTGGGCCAGTACCACCCCTCCCCCCTATGACGTGTCGAGGATCGCTTGACCCTGGGGGGGGGGGTTGCAGTGACACCCCCTAAAGGGGAATTGATCGCAAAATTTTTAGAAAATTGGGAACGTGACGGTTGACTCCACTGCATGACTCCTTATCTGAGGTTGCTGCATCATGAGTTTTGATGTTGTCCTTCTTGAGACAAGGTTTCCGTTGTTTGAGCCAGTCCCGACTGTACTGTGGGGCGCCACAATGGGCCACCTCGTTCACCCATCTCTTATTTCTTGAGAAGTGGATCAGCACCCCACCTTAATTATTGTTTTGTGACTGATAGAAATTTGCTAATTTCTCGGTTTTCGTGTCTAGGGTTTTAACTATTTTTTCTTACTTTTGCAGTTGAATACGAAATGATGCAAGGAGGTTTTGTCGGATTATTTCAGTCGGGATGGTTCGCGAAACGAGTTCCTCTTCCTATCGTTGATCAAAAGGTATGTGGGCTATGAGCAGAGTTTAACTTGCATCAGTAACTCTCTTATAGCTGGGCACGGCATGCGATTACTCTGGTCAAGACATCGTCATGTGGGGAGAAATGGAACGTGTATGCACACAGGCGGACGGACTCTCAGGCTCCAAAAGTATTACGAACGAAAGGAAGTGATGGAAAATTGTATATAGATTATATGGAAGGTGAAGTGGAAATTGTTTTTCGGAAGTTTTTTTCCGAGTCAGCTGTGATTTTGAGTGTTTTATCGGTTTGCATGTTAATACTGTTTAGACTGGAAGTTGGTGTAGTGGAAGTTGGCGCCTGCTTGGCCAAGCCGCGGTCGGGGATCAAATCCCAGATCATGCTTGCGTTCAAAAAATATTGTTATTAACGGGCAAATCTCTTATCCTTTTCAATTAAAGGAATTTGGCTGCTAAATTCTTGCCTTTCTAAAGCTCTAAAAAATAGAATTGTCAGTTGTGATCAGTGGAATAGCACACAAAGTTTGTTCAGCATTGAATGTGTAGATGAAAAAGTAAAAAAACTACACGTTATGGACCATGAAGGACCAGGAGGCAGAGCCAGGCGAGGCATGGAAAGAAGACGGCGTTTGGCCGGCTACGTACCAGGCGACGCAATGAGAGAATCGGGTTAAAGCGCGCGATTTCGGAGAGTGGAGACAAATCGATCGATGGAATAGGATGGAGTAGAAGTGTAAGATGTGAATGCAACGAAGCAGAAGGCCAGAAAGAGCTTCTAGTGAATGCACTCCAAGAACCAAGTTTGAGCATCCCCGTCGCCAGCATTCGTGAAAGACGTCCGTGGGCAATTCGAACGCGTAGCAGCCTTTTCGAGTTTTCGAATTTCTAATCAAAACGAAAGCAATACTTCAGTTCTTTTCACTATTATCGTGGATAATGAGTCTCAAGCCAGTGATTTATGGCTGAAATAGAATCATGATTTTTCCGCGCAAGATTCCTTTAAGGCAAACTTTGTGCAATTTTGTATCTCACTTCTGTTTCGTAACGGCAAATCCGGTTTTTCTTATGAAACTCGGAAAAATTTGTTCATCCTTTGCTCTGTTGGTACACGTTTTATTCACATGACACATTACCTCATGTAGTAAATAAAGGGAGTTCAAGCTACAAGGCGCTCAATTTCAGAACGAGGACGTTCGACAGGATAGCCTCGTGGAGCAGCTTTTTTCGGTCGTCAACGGGATCTTGAACCGTGGTGAACCTTCAGCCTTTCTGCGCACTTATAAGGTAAGTGAACAAAAATGAGCAGAGCTAGTTACACAGTGGTGGTTTTAAGTCAGAGCATTCAACACCAAAGTTTCCAGATCTGAATTCAAGCAAGCATTTTTCCTAATTTTTATTTCAGGTGGTCCCTTTGGATAGCAAATGTGGCATAATAGAATTTTGTCAAGGGACAGTATCACTGAGTATGTCCAATTGATTTTATATCTTCGCCAACTGAGTATGTGTGGGTATAAACTTCTTTTGTTCCTTCAGAAGAACTTCTGTGCGGAATGGATCTTGTGAGCGGCCTGCATGCGAAAGAAGAGCCGGGCGATAGGAAAGCACTCCAAGTGCGAACCACCCTAAAAGACGCCGCAAAGACGCAAGTGAACGAAGCTTCGAAGATGTTTCGAGAAGCTTGTGCACTTTTCAAACCGGTGTTCAGGTATTTCCTTCACGATATGAACATGTAATAAATTGAAAAATTGAATTGAATATGGTCTTGTACTCGATCGTTCATGTGTGGGGAATTTCTGAAGACTATTACAAACCTCAAAGCAACACCCCCAGATCAAGTTTGTGGGGTTACAGCGATCGATAATATAGTTGTGGATGCTGAGTTGACTAAAAATGAGAAAGGAAGCAAAGAAAACCGTCGGTGAAGGCAAGGATTCCACTCGGAATGGGAAGAGGCGGGGTCAGACGCGTTGTTAGAATTTGCCTGCACCACGACTCAGCTAAACCGCGCGTGTTTGAGTGAGCCGTTAGGTCGTAATCCATGGGGTTTGCCCGATGTAACTCGTCCATACGTCAAAGACTGGCTGCATAAGATCGTTTGTAAGTCCGCTAGCCGCCATGTGCGCACTTTCATCTGTGGTACTCGGGCTACTCTATTCACCCGCTAATTGGACTCTTTCGACACTACTCCTGCTGGGGTGTTGCTCAAGAACTCCTTCCTATATTTGGTGACGTCTTTCAGCAGATTGTTATAGGCACTTTTTCTATGAGCGGCACAGCACGGTTCAGTCTTGGACGCAAATGATTGACAATTATAGGCGTAGCCTTGCCCAGTGGAGTATAGGTAGGTTCCACTGATGATTTTTATCCATCTACACAAAAAATTATTGAAACGCACGGTAGTTTGGCCAGGGTGGAAACTCAATATTTCAGTGACCTATGTGGTAGGACTTGGCGATCGTCATCTCAGCAATGTGCTGTTCGAGACTGACACATGCAAATTGGTCCACATTGATTTGGGTAAGCAGAGTTCCATTCAATCAGGCACTTTACTGAATTCTGTTCTTGAGAAATCGAGCAGCCCCTTGCCATTTATCAGTAATAAGAAGCCTGTTTTTGCGGTGGCCGCTGCTTAATTGGCACCTCTCCATGAGACTAAATGTCTGATGTCTTTAGATATAAATTTAACCTTGCCTTGTAGGTATGATTCTGGAGTACAGTAAAAGAACCTTACCCATTCCTGAGCGGGTACCGTTCCGTCTAACGAGAGATCTTCTGGATCCAATACTTATCGAAGGAACAGACGGCCGACTTGGTGAAAGTGCTGTGCGTGCAATGCGATTACTCCGGGAAAGCAAGCATGTGAGTCATAAGCTTTAATTATGCAAATGTTTATTGACTGATTAATTAAATTACCATCACCAGTCAAATAATTTACGTTGTGAATTTATCAAATAGTTTACATAGTTAACATCGCTATAGTATACTGCAAATAATTGAAGGTTTGTGTAGGTGATTCTGGGCCTGGCGTCAGTATTGCTGCGAGAAACCATTTCTAACTTCGAAGAGGTGGAGTCAAACGGAGGAGAGCGCCCTTCGTTTGTCTCAGAAACTGCAATCGCACGGCTTCGGGACAAACTGAATGGGACTGACGACACGTTTGGTGTTCAGGATGTTGAAGATCAGGTATCCTCCATATTAGTTGAACGAGTGCGTAATTTTTATTACCCGACATTGCAACGTGGATCGATATATTGATGTTTATTTGATGCATTAAATCGGCGATATTAAAACGTTCTTGTGTGTCTCACCAAAGAAATGTTATGAGATTGAACATGGGAAAAGTAGTGGAGTAGATTTACCAAGGATGATAGGTGCGCGTTTTCCGCGGAGCCCAATTCGTATTCGTTGAAGCGGACGGCGGGCAAGACGGTCCGAAATGTGCCGTGTAGGCCTCCGCAATTCTTCAAGACACGCCACCACCAGCACTGTAAGTAGGTGTACAATGACCACTATGTCGCCCGTTCAGTCACATATTTAACATGTGTGTGGAGGCAAGACGATATTCTGCAGCAGATTTATTACAAAATTAATCTAATTTATTAACAATTTTTATATTATTGACAAAATGAAACTAATTTGCCACGGTGTTTCTTTGAGTATCAGTTTGCATGGCGTGTTCATCGGTTAACATTGATTTCTGGTTATTTTGACACGGCATGATTTTTAGGTTCGTCGCTTATTCGCCGAGGCGACAAGTATCGACAATCTTAGCCGGATGTTCGTCGGTTGGATGCCGTTTGTTTGATTAATGTCCTTATAGCACTGTTGTTAGCTGAAAGCTCAAATCCCATTCTAAGGTTGTTATCTGCTGAACTTTTTTTTTCGAAATTTAAGAAGTTTTGTGAAGATCGTAAGTTGTTATATTTTCCACTTTGTTTACTTCGCGTTATCTCATGCAATGCTTAGCGCTTTCTTTTGACAAAGTAATGCGTCATCATTTACGAGTATGACTTTTTCATCGAACGGTGTTCTCTGTGTCATAGTATTCCAGTAGATAGATCGGGTTTGTTGCATGGAGTTGAAATCATAGAAGAATCAATTTACTGGCCTTTCTCTGATGAGATGCAAAAGTTTTTTCTGCATGCGACATTAACAGATTTCACTTCATGATAATGGAGGATGTGGCAGTGAGTTTGTTTGTTTTTTTCTTGCCTGTAAAAATGATAACAAGAACGGTATTGAAAGGAATAGTTGGTGGTGAAAAAGTGCGAGAACTTAGTAAACATTTAGAGTTGGAAAGTCTCTTCCTTTGAGGGTGACGGCGATAGCCAGGTTCAAGCGTGCGCTAAATACTTCACAGAGTGTAATAGGAGGGGGGGGGGGGTTACGGTTTGAGGGCCCCGGCGAGGGAGAGGGTACGATCGGACCCAGATTGATCACAGAGCGTAGAATATCAGTAGTTTGGAGGACAGACTGATTTGATCTAAGGGTCTGTGGATCGTCTAATGCAACCTCGGTGCCAAGCCTTGGGCTGGAACGAGCGTATTGTCCTGAATATACAGTTTTATTCCGCTAGCATAAAGTTTTTTGCGTGCTTCGAAGGCTCTCGCATAGGCGATTCTTAGCGTACCTGTGTAGTGCTCATTACGGAACAGGCTCCTGAAAATTGGCTAGGTTCCGTCAACGAATTTTTCGTGCTTGTTCTCAATGAGTCACAAAGAGTAGAAGGATCAGTGTAACAGTGCTACGGCCGCATCCCCATGAGTGATGCAGTCTTGCGGTCGCGTTTAACTATGGCTGCACGTTAACAGGATATCTTTATGAGCATGAATTGGTCATTCCTATCTTGTGCTGTAGGCGGGTGTGTGGGGACGGGGTTATTGAGACAATGTGCAAAGTCGGGAAAACAACGCTGTATGTATCGTCTCCTTGTTCTGCTAACTCTATGGGAGGGTTAGGGGCCTAAAGGTATCGCTGTGCTCGGTTGATAGGTTATCCGAGTCATGGAGTATTTTTCCGTTGGGAGCACGTTCTTTAAGGAAACGATCTCGATTCAAGCAGAGAATGCAAGAGGGATCCTGGAAAGGGTCCGGGTGCCATTACAGGGAGGATCACTAGCAACAGGGATGAAGTTGAGTCTCAGCGTCAAATCGTGAGTGCGCGCGGTTGCTGATTGCCTTCACCTTGTTATTGTGGCAAGGTTGAGCAATTCAATGATGAAGACTTAAGAGTCATGTCTTCTTAAGTATTAGAAACGTTCGGATGCCTATCTCATAGACTCTCTTGAATTGTGCATCGTGTGTGCGGTGCCTATATGTTGTGAGCCCACCAAAAGGATGACGCTCTAACTCGTTTTTCATAAGAGATAGATATTTGTATTACTGTTTGAACGAACCACCTAGATGAATGTGTGTAACCTTTTATGCAAAGCAGATAGCTATTCGGTTTTTAGCTATTTAATTGAACCCGATGTTAGTAGGCAAAAGTCGAGGGCTCAGCCGTGATCGGCCATAACGTTGCTTTAGCGCGTCTTACGTAGTTATGGCGCCTGAAATTGATAGTATGTTAGAGATGGGCGGTGGAAACGACAGTTTACGATAGATACAAAACGGTTACATTTGGGAAACCCTGCTCGAGATCTCAGAGGCTCTGTCATAATAGCGAAACCCTTCTCTTGCGCTAATGTGACATAGAGAAGTGGTGAGGCCTTGCTCGGGGGAGTGGCTCACATTCAGATATAGCTGGTCTTGTGATGCTAGAGCGCGTTTGTAGAAGAGCGCCCTACATAGCATATCTCACGGTTTGAGATATGAGGCAATGTTCACCTCAGAATCTGTTTATCAGGCACGCTTAATCAATTTTGCGGTCGAGCCTCAGCTACAGCAACCGACATCACTGAGCTCGCTCTCTCAAAATTTGCGTGTCGCGGAACATATAGGCCATTGCAAAGGCAGCAGATATAAGCGCCAACTATTCATGAGTAAGTTGATCTGAGTGCCAGATAAGCGTGTGATGTAGCGTGTTATTAGCACATATAGAGATGGGGAGCGATGTGATACTCGGCGCAACTATCTCTCGTGATGACCGGCAGGCTTACCTTACGATTGTGAATTTTCAGTCGATATGAAAGAAACTCGATATTCTGATTACTCTGAAAGTTCCTTGACTCGTCGGCACTTTTATGGACATCTCTGAATTCTGCTCATTGTGCGGTTCCAATGTGACTGCGGCAACTTACGTTCTTTCTCATATTCTCTAGCATCAATGAGTGCATTTAGTGTTGGATCCCGCTGGTTGGGTTTGTGGACAACTACGATTTTTGGTCCGAGCGAGTAAATTCCATATGCTTCTCGATTTTAAGTGCTAAGACCTAAGAGCAAAAGGCAAAACTCGCCTATGTAGGTAAAGGGCGGCATTTGTTACGGGTCCACCACTTTGTGTCATCTATATTCACTCTCGCCATGTCGAAAACACTTGAGCTCCGTGCAGTGATACAGGGCGGTCTCCGCTGGTATTTGGCTTCGAGGGCGGCCGTGCAGAGGCTAGTACAGACCAGTCTGTAGCGCCATGTGCCAGTGGTGCGCCGGCGTTAGGAGAGGGCTGTTCACTTTTATCATACTAAGGTTTATGAGTAGCGTTTGTGTAATGTTGGGCTCGCTAGAAAAATCACGCCCAAGGCATTTGCGCACCCCGCGCTACAGGCGCGCCCGTTCGACGGCAGTGGGTGCCCGGCAACGAATGGTGCGCGCTTGCGACAGCAGCTATAAGCATAGGTTAGTAAGGACGTTGTTCGGAGTCTCATCATCCGAAAAGAGATTTCCGTTGACGACAAGTTCGTAGCCCGCCTTTCCGCTCTAAAACTAGGGTGCAAAGAATGAATGGAAGCTGTAGGTGACATTATCGAAAAATGCGAAACAACAACCCCGAGCAAGGATGTGGCTATATTTAGGGGAAGGGGTCTCGGGACGTGCGAACCATGGGTAAGCCACCCATCAAATAGTAAACTTATGTAAATTAAGACAAAATGTATGTAAAATTTATTGTAGGTTTGTCAAAAATCCAGCCGTCCAGGTCCTGGGAAGATATGTTATTCCACATTGCTGAGAGTATATATGGGTATATTAAGATTGCTAGAAACATTCCAAAAACAAAAGAAATAATCGTGCGCCACCATGTGGCGCACGCCGTCCGTTATGGGTTAAGGTAGAATACGAGTACGTCTTCTAACACTATGATTGGCAGGAACAGTCTGGCAAGACAAGAAGAGCGAACGGGCAGCTTCGCGAATTAGATGAAAAGACACATGATCTGCCCTCTGGCAACCATCTTCTCGCAGCAGTTGATACCAGGGTCGGTCCTATCGTTGCTACTTTTCAAAAAGTTTTTACGACCCCCCTCCCTCATGAAATGTTTCATACGACCCCCTCTTTCAAAACAATTTTTACCCCAAAAAATTACCGTCGAGCGGGGGGGGGGGGTATATACTTACCATAAAACCGCAAAAATTCCCTACATTTCCCTACAATTTCCATGTATTTTACCCATATTTCAACTGCTCCATTTTCTAGGGGGTATATACGCGCGCTGAAACGGCAAATTTTCTCCCGCGCCGCTCCCCACTCATCACATGCAACTTCTTACAACCGAAGCAAGTACGACCCCCCCCTACAAACTCATCAAAATACGACCCCCCCTTGCTACTTGTAGCAACATAGGGTTGACCTTGGTTTATACACGTCGGAGGTGCCGCGAGAAGAAGGCTATGCAGATAAATGGGTGGTTTGGAATTTGATGAATCTGCTTCTACTTCCAGGTAATTAATTGAGTTTTATTAAAAGTGGTCCAAATAAATTTTGCTCCGATTGCGTATTTCACAGAGTTACCACTCACCTTTCTGTGTCACTGTCCGATTTTTGAAATACACATAAGCAACTTGTTCAAGTAAATTAATGCGCAAGGAATTGTCGCAAAGTCGTGAAAATGTGAAGTTAAGAAAGTTCTGGAGATAGAACATATGTGGAGTGAAGCAAAACCATACCCTAAAAATGTTGTTATCTAAGGTTTCCCTGTAACAGCCTGATGACAAGAATACCAAGGTGAACTGGCCGGCGGCTCTCGAGGGTACACATGCCGCACAATTCGATGACGGGAATCATTAACGAAATAAATAAAGTCATAAGTTCACAGCAAAGTTTGAAGAATTCAAATACAATTAATTTATTTAGTCGATACCCTCCCATTGTCGTCCGACCAGG